ACTCAGCCACTCCTTCCTTTCCATGCATGGCCCAGAGGCAAATTGAGGCATTATGAGCAAGTCTGCAATTTTGAGTTTTATGGATGGATGGAACAGGAGATCAAAGAGATCTCACACACACCACAGTTACTACCCTTTGAACGAACAAAAGAAGGGCCTTTTTGTTCTAATTGATGAGGAATTCCTCTCCCCTAAAGATAGCGCTTTTCCTCAACAGGAAAAAGCTGTCATTTGTCTGTATATTTAGGAGACAAAAAATGTGACTTATAAACAAGACAGAGGAGTTTTCTTCTGATGAAGAGTGTGTAATAGCTGTATACACAAAACCTGTTAGGCAAGAGAAGATAGCCTGACTGCTTCAAATCACTGTGTATTCATTTATTAAGCATTTTTTTCCTCCCGCCCTTCCTCAAAGGAGCACGGGGCAGTGTACTTCATTCTCCTGTCCTCCAGTTTAGCCTCTGTGCTAGGCTAGGGCGAGAGTGTGTGACTAGCCCAAGGTCACCCAGCAAGCTCGCATTCCAAATCCTAGCCTGACCATGTAAACCACACTGGCTGTTGCTCAGCACCTTTTCCTTTTCAGTTGTTTGTCTGTATAGGTGTTGGGGGCGGGGGGGTGCCATTCTTTTTTTGCCTCCTCCATAGAGAAAGAGCACAGGAACCGGCTCTTCTGTATTTGCCACTTGAGGTTTTCTTGTAAATATTTTAAAAGCAAGTACATATAAACAGCCTGGCTGCTACAAGGAATACGTTAACAGGTCGAAACGGACCCCGGTGCCAACCTAGACTGACACAAAGTAAATTGGAAAGAGAAAAATCCTTCCAGGCTTTTTCTAAAGGGAAAAAAAATAACTTTGACTGATGGAGAATTATCCAAAGGCCTAAAGGAGGGAGCCCACTGATGAATTAAAACTCACTGTTAAATTCCAAGGCTTTCTACATGTGCCCCTTATAAGAAGGTTCATATTTCTAAATGACTAGGAGGAGGGGGATGTTAAGGGTGAACGAGGGTATAAATCAAGATTGTGGGCCTTAGAAGGCAGGTGCAGAAGGCTGAGAGAGAAGCAGCCAGTCTTTGTACGTGCATGTGTTCAATCTCCCATCAACACAATAGACTCCAGTGGATAAGAGCGAAAAAGAGGGCAGTTACATCTGTCACATCCACAATACAGCAGCACAGGGCAGAGGCACTCCTAAAGCGTAAATCTGTCATGGGAGTCACACAATCCCACAATGCTCCATATGTCTTGAGAAGACACTCTAAACGGATATACGGGAATTCTACTCCGATGCAACGTATGCCGTATGAGCAATTCGTGAACACTTGCACTGAATTCCGAAGGGTCATTAAAAATAAAAGTTTGTGAGGAAGCTACGGTGCTTATTGCAAAGTTCCAAAGTTTTATTGGAGAGCTTTTACTACAGCCGATAGGAAACTGATTTGAAAAATAAGGAAGCTCTGCGAAGCCATGGTAATATAAGGTTATAAATGCAGTTATGAACTCAATAGGCCGAAAGGTCCTGATTAACTTTATTACATTTATTACCTTGCAAGGATTGAGTAGCCTTTAATAAACAGCAGTACTCCTTGGGATCGTGGATAGGTTCTTAACCGCTCCCGACAGAGACGCTGACGTTAAGATCCATTTGTCTTTTCCTCCCTCCAAAATGGGGAAGTATACGTTTTGTGCAAGGGCCCGATCCTAGTGATCCACAGACACAAACAGCTCCACGGATTATTCTTTGTAATTATTTGGTAGACTGTTGAACGGGCACCAGACAACATGTATCCCAGGAGGCAATTTCACTGCTCAGGGCTGCTTCAGACAACACAAGGCCCCTGGGGCCACAGACAAGGACCTTTCAGGGTATCTTGTAGAAGGGAGCTTTGACTCTCCAATCTTGTTGGTCAATATAATGTTCCTGGACTTGAATTTCACTCTTCTATTGCCCACCAACATGGCTACCCAGCTGAAATTGTCCACAAAGACCTTGTACCACATGTGTGCTGGGAGACCCGTGGAGAATGGATCCTGTGTCCCTCTGGCACACTGAAGCAGTTCATGAAAATGAGGAGGAGGGCTGAACCCCCTTCTCCACATTCATTGTGACTCGACTATGACCCCCCCCATGCGCTTGGGAGACACAGAACTCTCAGCACATACGGAACACGAAGTCCTTGATTGTGTGAATTAACTGTGTGAATTAAGCTTGTGTGTGTGTGTGATTGTCAGGACAGTGTGAAATCTGAGAGCACACGCTCAAGGAGCCTATTCTACAGATCCTCTCCTCTGCCTGGAATAAGGCCAGAGGAGGTATTCTGATACCGTTAAAAGTATATGAATAGCCATTGTTGGGGGGGGGGCACCACCAACTTTGGGGATTTTCTTAAATTAGTCCATTACTATGCTTACAGGGACTACAGAAGTAGATATGAAAAATTAGATTGACTTTCACCGAGATATTACAATAGAAATTGACTCTTAAGGACCCAGGCAGTGATGTATTCCCATTAGGGAACATTTCCCCAAGACGCCTGCTTTGGCCAGCTTCTTCTCCCCCCCCCCATACCTGTCAGAAGTCCTGCTTCATACAACAAGAGGTGGGTGGGTGAGGGGGTTATGGAGAAACTTGGTGGGAGGCCCATATACTCCAGCCTTCCTCTGGTGGCAGTGGAGGTTATAGGGCATTCATGTCAATCACACGAGGCACCAGTTCCCATGACGTTCCCCTTTACCCATTCCCATAACATCTACTGAGTGGTGGTGGACTGTGCAGTCAAGTCGTAGGTGACTTATGGTGACCCTGTAGGGCAGAGGTGTCAAACTCATTTGTTATGAGGGCCACATCTGACATAAATATAACTTTGTCAGGCCGGGTCATGTCTGCCATAAAATGTAATGCCCGGTACCGGAGAGATAAACTTTATAAATGACACAGGCAAACCTAATTAACAATATTATTTTTACTCAAAATACAAACAAAAGTAATAAATTCCTAGGACTGAAAGCAACTGATGTACTGGGGAATCCACCAAAGCCCCAATAAATGTATTCGATCATATGCAAGACTAGGTTTTCCCCAAGGGATTCCATACCTACTCTCTAGCCATTTCCTTTCAGTTCTTGACTGCTTTGACCACACACTTCACTGTATGCACCCTCCTGCCTTCACTCTCTTGCACCAGTTGCTCGGGGGCTGGATAAGAGCCCTGGATGGGCTGTTCCCAGGCCATATATTTGACACCCTGCTGGGTTTTTAAGGCAAGAGGCGTTCAGAGGCCCTTGCCTGCCTCTGCACAGCAACCCTGGACCTCCTTGGTGGTCTCCCATCCAAATACTAAGGCCGAACCTGCTTAGCTTCCAAGATCTGACAAGATCTGGCTAGCCTGGGCCATCCAGGTGAGGGCCATAACACCTCTCTGCCTCCATTCAACTTCCTTGGCTGTGGCTTGGGAGGTCCTGAAAACGTGCAGTGTAACTTCTGCTCTTCACACACACACAAGAGTCCCATGGGGACAAGGTTCCTCTTCACTCAAGAAGCTCCTCAGGTTGCTGTCTTTCCCCTACCTAACCCCTGTGAGGATCACATGGGATATATATGTTGTCCTTAAAGGAAGGGCAGACATCAAGGCGACGAAGAACAACTGCCTGGGCCCCCATGAGCTGCATCGCGGGAGGGTCCCCATTAGCAGCAGTGTCCATAAATGCAGCCCTCCTGCAGAGGGTCCCAAAGGCCTGTTTATGCCTCCTCCAGCTGGCTGCTTAAAAAACATAGGATGTCCCTGAGCCAGTGAGAGAGGACAGGCTGTTCTGAAGGCAGCTCTGGAAAAGTGCACTGCAACCCCCCCTGCTCCCTGGGGTTTTCTTTTTATGTGTTCGCAAAGCCATCCTCCCAGTTCCTGCTCATCCCTGAATCACTGGGGAAAAAACGGTGGTGGGGGCGAAGAAACAGTGCATTTCACAATGTAGCCTTCAGCCAAACATCAGCCAATTGCATTATTCTTATCCCTTGTGTTACTGTTATTCGCAAGAAAAAGAAAAATCTGAGAGTTGAATTATTTCTTGCAGGGCTTTTCTCCTGAAACTTGAGGTGCATTTCCCCAAACCAGAGGGATTTTTGCACCGTTCCCTGCTCCCTCCCACCCACCCCCTTGCCGGGCTGACGGGCTTGCCTTAAGCCGTCGTACACAGCCGGGGTTACTCTCGGTCATTGCGCGGGACTAGCTCGAGCTGTTTTGTCTGGTGTTTTCTCCACGCACAGCCCGTTCGCGGACACAACCCGGGAGGCGTCTTCGAAGCCAGAGACAAACAGCCTCCGCTCTGCCGGAGCTGGGCAGCCTTACAATGTGGGTAAAACAATGCGCAGAGCTGGTGGGATGTTCGGGGGAGAAAGAAAGAAAGAAAGAAAGAAAGAAAGAAAGAAAGAAAGAAAGAAAGAAAGAAAGAAAGAAAGAAAGAAAGAAAGAAAGAAAGAGCTCGGTCCCCACACGGTTCTTTGCCTAACGCCGCACACACGGCATCCCATCTCCCCTTCCTTTCTCCTTTGTCCTTCCCAAAGGAGCAAGAAGACTTCCCCTCCCGTCCTCCGCTTCCTTTCCATGAAAAACATAAACGCCAAGTCCCCCCAGCCTCCTCCCCGGGCGGTTGAGCATCCAGGTAGGGTTCCTGGGAGAGGAGAAAATGCACTCTGCACATCCTCAGAGGATCGCTATTGTTCCCTTACTCCCACCCACCCACACGTCCGGAGGGAACGAATCCCACCACAGCCCAGGAGCTGAGCCCAGTTGGACGCCACTCCAGCCCTTGTCCCGTAGCATCCTAGTCCGAATCATACGAGGTCCCCAAACTTTCAGCCGGCTCTGCCGGGAAAGGGAAAGTCTCCGGCCAGCGTCCTCCGCTTTCCCAGCGCACAGCGTTCGTGCATTCGGCGGCCCCTTCTCCCCCGACTCCACCAGCCCAGGGCCCCCAAGCCCCCCCCCCCCGGTCTGCGCCTTTTACCTGCTCGCCAGTTTGTCCGGAGTGTCCCTTGGCGTCCACTTGGAGGAGGAATTCAATGAAGCGTCCCGGAGGACAAAGCCGCCTAGTCCTCTTTTGGCACTGGGGCCGGGCGGGGTCAGGGTGGCGTGGGGGGCAGATGTCAAGAGCCGCCTTCGCTCCCGGCTGGTCCCCCCTCGATGTGACTCGAGAATGCCAAGCCGTTTTGAACCCGGCGCTCCTTATATAGATTCCGCCGGCGCTGTACAGGGGAGGTTATTATCGGTCAAACCCGGCTTGCCGCAGCTCTGTTTATGTAGTTCAGTCACTCACGGCCAGCACGTGGAGGCCCAGCCCGCCTCTTAAAAGGGCGACGCCGCCTGGCCTCCTCCACAGAGCCGGAAAGGAGGCTCCGGATCGTCTCACGGAAAGCGGCTGGAAGCTGAACAGCAGCCTGGCGGAGGGAGAACCCGTGGACAGGGCCGAATAAATCCAGTCTTAAGAGCCCCCCCTCCCAAAGATGATTTAGTTTTTAAAAATTGTATTTAGAAGGGCTTCATAATATGTGGCCCTAAACTGTAATTTAACTCCTGCATAAACCAGACAGATCATACACCACTTCCCACCCCCCACCCCGAGTTTTATCCCGTCTTTTATTATGTTGTTAGTTTATAATACAATGTATTTAATCAGGGGTCATTTCGTAGAAAAAGAGGCGCAGGAGCTCATTAGCATAACTTATTAGCATAACTTATTTGCATACGCCACACCCCCTGACAAGGCTCCACTGAACTGTTTTGGGTTGCTATCTATTGTGGGGGGGGGGGGGACACGTGCAGATCTGTCCTGGCAGAGGAGGGAGAGCTTGTACCTGAATAAAACTTGGTCTTAAAGGTGCCACTGGACTGTTTTGGGAGGGGGGGTTGGGGGGAGCTCTGCAAATTACCTGGCTGCTTCTTGCTGTGACTGAGGGCTGTTGGGAGCAGGGGGTGGGGCTTGTTCCATGTGCCCAACCCCTAGGCTCTTTACTGCCGGAGCTCTGCTCCTGGGGGCTCCTGCAGGAAATGAGAAGAAGAAGAAGTGATTGGATTTATACCCCACCCTTCACTACCCAAAGATGTCTTAGAGCTGCTTACAAACTCCTTTCCCTTCCCCTCCCCACAACAGACACCCTGTGAGAACTCTTGACAGAAACTGCTCTTTTTCAAGAACAGCTGTGCCAGAGTTATGGCTTGCCCAAGGTCATCCAGCCAGGTGCAAGTGGAGGAGTGGGGAATCAAACCCGGTTCTCCCAGATTAGAGTCTGCGCACTTAACCACTACACCAACTGGCTCTCCCTGTATTTATGACCCCTGTATTTAATCATATATTATTAGGTATTTTATTATATTAGATCAGACAGAATATATACCACTCCCCCTTGAGTTTTACACCATCTTTTACTATATTGTTAATCATATAATGTATTTTATCTTATATTGTTAGGTATTTTATTATATTACACCGGGCACGCATTCAGTCAGCATTACGCCAAATGCATTGGCTACTAATTGAGTACCGGACCTGCTTCAAGGTTCTGGTATTGACCTTTAAAGCCTTGTGCAGCCTAGGACCGACATACCTGAGGGACTGCATCTCCCGATATGTACCCTGAAGAGCTTTGCACTCTGCTGACCAAGACCTGGTGGTTGTCCCTGGCCCAAGGGACATCCACTTAGCCTTGACCAGGGCCAGGGCTTTTTCTGCCCTGGCCACAGCCTGGTGGAACAAGCTCCCATGTGAGATCAGGGGCCTGCGGGACCTATTATCATTCTGCAGGGCCTGTAAAATGGAGTTGTTCTGCCAGGCCTTTGGCTGAGGTGGCGGGAGTCCAGTGAAAAGTTAATCTCCCCTGCTGACGTTTACCAGCTCAATGTGGTCCAGAGCAAGTAGATCTTAGAGAGCTAGCGGTACCAGCTCTAAAAATTGTGCCTATAGTCAAATAGTGCAATCTGTTTTTAAATTGTTGTTAATAAATTGTTGTTCTTAACTGTTTTTAAGCTGTCTACTAAATGTATTTATATTATGATGCCGAATGGTTTTGTGATCCGCCCAGAGCCCACTTGTGGAGAGGGCAGAATATAAGTTCAATAAATAAATAATATAATATAATATAACAATGTATTTTATCATATATTATTAGGTATTTTTATTATATTTCTTGTATTTAGGTTTTTTGGAATGTTTTTATCATGAAGTCACCCACTCTGAGCCTGGATTCATGGAGAGTGGAATTTTTTGTTGTTCAGTCGCATAGTCGAGTCCGACTCTTTGCGACCCCATGGACCAGATCCCGCCAGGCCTTCCTGTAAATAAATAAAACCCAGCTCTGGATGTCTTGAAGCAGGACTTCACTACAGTGTGGAGGGAGGGAGGGGACTGTATGCACTGTAGGGTCCTGCGGGAAGGGGATGCCCTGGGGTTCCTGCAAGGGACTAAGCTTGCACACAAATCCCACAAGAGCTCAGTGAGGACGTGGTGGTGGGAAGACGGGTGGCTTCTGTTGGGTTAACTGGTATGGTTAGTTCAGTACCCACTAGTTAGCAGAGTGCTTTAAATAAAGCTGCAAACGCAGGAGCATCTTCTTACCAGGTTACCCAGCTTACAAAACTACACAGAGCCATGTTGCAAATTTAAGATTAATACTAGTTACTTTATTCTAGAACTACAATTTAGATAGGAAAGCTCAGAGATAGGATAGTATTGTAGTCTAACTAAGGACAGGCACAGATGGTGAGAGTAGGGCTGCCAAGTCGCCCCGGGGGGCGGGGAAACCCCCGGCCCAGAGGCCCGTTCCCTGATGCCGGGGAATTGAGCCCCGGGGGGGAACCCTGCCCCGGCGTGCGTGTCACCAGGAAGTGATGCTATGACGCCGGGCACGCTGGGGGCGGGGCCATGGCCATACAAGGGAAAACTCTATGGTTTTCCCTTGTATGGTTGTGGCCCCGCCCCCAGCGTGCCCGGTGTCATAACGTCACTTCCTAGTGACGTGCATGTGGCGCGTGCGTGCACCAGGAGCTGGCCAGGAGTCCCCCGCGGAGGAGGTGAGTGCCACTTGGCAACCCTAGGTGAGAGGCCATCTATGTCATGGTGCCAAGATGAGGACAGCGTGTCCTCCCTCTTGGTGTGTGCAGGAGGAAGGGAAGGAGAGTTCTGGGAGAGGATGGACGGAAGGAAGGAAGATCTCCTGAGAATACAGTCTGCATATCAAAGGGGACAGTGGCAGAAGAGTAAACACAGGAAGGAAGCGTAGGGTTTGCCCTCTCTAGCTGTCTAACTCTGTTGCCACGTACTCTGGCAACTGAGGCATGGGACAGGGTAAAGTCCTTCACTTCCAACGGCTTCACCCTTGCAGGCCGATGCTTTACTTCCCCTTCCTGTTGCTCTCCCCAAAATGGCATCTATGTTGCCCACTCAAATGTTTCCCAGGACTAGGACTGCCAACTCCAAAATGGGAAATTCCTGGAGATTTGGGGGTGGAGCCTAGGAGGGGAAGGTCTACAGAGGGGAGGGAACTCAGTGGGGTGCCATCAAGTCCACCCTCCAAGGCAGCCATTTTCTCCAGAAGAACTGATTGTGGTCATCTGGAGATCGGTTAGAAGTCTGTGAGACTGCCAGACCCCACCTGGAGGTTGACATTTTTGCCAACTTGGTGTCTACTTGCTTCTTCTTCTTTTGGTTTTTTTTTTTAATTTCTCAAAAAAAAAAAGTGGGATACAAAAGGGAAGAGGGGGTAGGGAGAAATATAGATTCATCAACTTTATCGAATATTATGGGTTGTTACATACAACAAGTAAAATCAAATGTATTAGTAGAAGAGGAAGAAGAGATTGGATTTATATCTTGCCCTTCGCTACCCAGAGGTGTCTCAGAGCGACTTACAAACTCATTTCCCTTCCCCTAGTAAGAATACATATTTCAAATATGGAAGCAGACAGTAAAACATCAATATTACAGTGTTTTGGGATGAGTTCTCTCTTTAAAAGAATAAACAAGAACTTTCCTAATGTTAGCGATAATCTATTAACAATAAGAGAAATTACATTTTAACAGTTGAACAAACCTCTAAGCTAAAATTAAATCATTGTTCAAACCTGAATATTGTCTTAATCGTTTGTCTAAATCTAAGTTTTATCCTTACTAAATATTTAAATAATAGTGAAATACTAAATAAAAGGATTAAAACTATAATCAATACCTTCATCACCTTTAATATGATATTCAGATAATTCCCAAAATAAAAAAATTAGTCATTCCCATAATATGAGTAGTAAACTTGCCGTTTCTTCTGAAATTCTTTCAATGGTCTTCTGTTTATATAATTAGTTAGTTTTGCCAGTGTCGCATACTCAGCTAGTTTTTCTTTCCAGATCTCCATCGTAGGACATTTTTCTGTCTTCCATTTCATTGCAAATTTTACTCTGGCAGCTGTCAACTTGCCTCTTGAGCCTTGGGGATCAAAGCCAAAGAATTTTGGCTTCCTCCCTGCCTGCCAACAAGCTAGGAACCATCTAAACTCATCCTGGGCCCCCGTGTGTCACAGTGGGGCACCTTCACCTCAGCTGTAGACACAGACGTTCTAATAGGTATGTATATTTAAAATGGAGAATTCTATCCGAAATATTTATTTATCTACAAAGAATAATGATAATATTATTTATAGATAGTGATGTAATCATGATTTGGAAGCCTCTTGGCTGAAGGGGACTTACAAATCATCATTAAGACATTACCAACTTAAACCTAGTAACCCGCCCAAATGTCTCCCTCCTCTCACCGCCCTCCGTGGTGCCTGCTGTCAGAAGCCCTGGCAAATCCTGCAGCCCCTCCTGAAGGTCTCCATCAAAAGGGTTCCCTTCACTTCCTCAGGGAGCTCAGTCCACAGTGTAGGAGCCATGATGGAAAAGGTCCAAACTCTGATTGATTCCAGGTGAGCTACCTGGACCAGCCAACAGGTAGCAGCCCGAGGACCATTTTTTAAAATATTTACTTCATTCCCCCCACCAGTAAAGGTATGTCTACACCAGTTGGTCAAATAAC